TGAATACCGAAGGTCCATGAAGAGGAAGTCAACTCAAAACCTGGCTCTACTCAGTCCGTCAGGACATGGACATCAGGACTTCCGCGTGAGGAGTGTGTGTGTGTAAAACGACGCTCAAGTCGCACCCTGATTATTCAGTTTATTTTGTGAGGGTAATGGGCACTGCCATTGAAAACCCTATTGATTACATGCTGGCGCGTCATACTTTTGTACACGCATTATAATAATAATCCCATTTAAAATAGTACTCACAAACTGTTAGTAGAATTGTTTTACAAATAACTTGTATCTAGAGCCTAATAAGCTCATGTGATTCTGTCGTACATCTGGCAATCCGAATAAAATACACACTACACTTCGATCGTTTCCACTGAGGTCCAGCGTCTACCGCCCCACAGCCAGGTGGGCGCAGGGACGGTGACGTGCAAGTAAGTGACTTTATAGTGATAGTAAACTTGCGCACCCTCTACCGTCTTCACTCCTTCTCTCCAGTTGGTGTCGCGATGAAGTCCAGAAGGTCGGAAGAAGGAGAGCGTACAGTTGGCTAGCGCGGTGTGGGCCTATATCCAGGTCAACAACCAGACTCGAATTCCCATGTGCGGCACCTGTGTTGGGGTGAACACCTATTAATAACTTCACTCGTGCCCTGATCTAGTTCCCGTTTTAATCCAGCGCATGTACCTCGTGGGCCGTTTGGGGCACACACACAATTGACTTAACTCAGGCGGCTGGATGATTTCACTCAAGCATCATTGGCTCTTAATCTTTTCTTCTGATTTGACAGCGAGCTATTGTAGTGGATAGCGATGACCATCACATCCATACGACCTTCCATCAGACTTTTTCAACACATAATCTAACTGTACAAACACCTCAATGTTAACTATGTGGTTTATTCATTTCGCATGTAGCTGTCTACGTGATAGACAGTAGTGCAGCTAACTTATAACACAGGAGACTTTCAGGCTATGTTGCGTGTGGATCCGTGCGTCTGCGAACGGAAAATTAGGTCGAAATGTCAGGCGCAAAATCAAACAGCTCGAGTATAGAAAGATAAAATACTCAGAAGTGGTGGGGAAACTGACTTGACTTCAGCGAATGTGGTGTGGAAAGCATCCAAAGATTGGCTGTTCAACGAATTCTCCGTAAGAGATGCAATATTATCGTCTCTAGAAGGCATACTCTTGAAATACATTCCTGAGCAGGTGTGATACTAGGCAACAACCTGATTACGGGTATGTGTTTACAATATTAACGGCTTCGTGCAGATGAAATCAAGGGGGTACGGTTGTCTTACTCTTCAGCCACTAAGGACACCAAATCTTGTCCTTTTCAAGAATTCTGTTAGAACAGTGTTTTTTTTTGCAAGATAGGCAGAAGGATGAGGATGAGGCAAAGCGGGGAAGGAGGAAGCGGAGAAAAAGAAGAAAAAGAGGAAAAAGAAGTATAAAGAGGAGGAGGGTGGTTTATGAAGTGATATATAAATAACATTCCGGTTGATTCCACGCTTGAAATTTAATAGATAAAGCATGCTCATGTTATTTGGCCGGCCTTCCACCAATTCCGATGAGCAACGGCACAATGGGACAAAGTTTGTGAATGCCTAGAATAACTAATGCGATATTTTGCAGTAACTGTGGCGAAGGAATGTCTAAATAGAAACGCTTGACTATGAGTGTTATTTTACGATTTAACGGGGAGCTCCTTTAGGTTTCGGGGTTATTTGGTCGGGGATTTTTGGTGGCAGGTATCATAGGTCTCACTATGGTGATTTTGTTTTAATCTTTTGTTTAAATGCGCATCAACTATATGGGAAACTATCTGATGCTAGAAAGATTTTGTGGTGCAACACTGTTGAAGGCTTTAATATAAATGATGAGCACTATCGATATCTTACAATAAAGGCAATTTCGAAAGGTATATAATTCTCAATATTTATGTTAAAAACAACTAAGCAAACCACTCAAAAGAGTAACATGTCTACACAATCAATGCGTTCCTTTTTCTATTACTATTTTTTATCTGTTCTTTTTTACTTTTTGCTGCTGTATCAAAACATATTGAAGTATATTAGCCTGGTGATAACTAATTGAAAAAACGCGTTTTCCGACTGCATTTTTTTCAATGTTTACATCGTCATTATGGCAGAACTTAAAAAGTAACCAAAGATGCAAGATACATATAAAGACCTTACGTAGATGCTGTAGTAGGCTTTAACAAAGGTTAAAACATATTTATGCAGTAAATACGCACTCACTTGTTTTAGTTTAATCTCATTGTCAGTGAGCATTGGGTAATATTGAGCCTGAAAAGGCTACAGAGGGTGACTCTCAGTCCCCACGTCAGTGGTCTAAGCTGTAACGCGGCACTGTCGATAGTCACGCGTTCAAACCCTGAGGTTCTATCGATTTGTCCCACGCTCGTGGTGAATTCGTGCGTGACACGGGTCCGCATCACCAGCGCGCCGACCACCTTCCAAGCAGGAAATGCTCCGACAAAATATACATTGCGAGTAGTTGTTCGTCGTTATTTGCAATCACAGGAAAGAGCATAATTTATTTAAAACATTGTTTCCCAGGTACGAATTTAAAACAAGCGTATCCAGTAGGATTTATTTGTACAAACAAATTTCGAGACGGCTTTTCAACCTGCTACCCATCTTTGCAGGAGGTAGACAACGAATGAGGTACACTTTCTTTACCATTTCTTTACGTTGCTGGTATTGTGTTCTACATCTAAGACATAAGACGGCATTTTAACAAAAATCATATGTAACTCTTGGACTTATTTTTACAGCGGACTCACAAAGCTTAGTGGAGCCTTGGATGTGATTGTAAAACCCTCATGGTTGGAGCGCTGTTTCACATTTATCCCTACCCAAACGCCTTCAAACCTGTTAGTAAATGTCTTCGTGGACAAACTCTCCATCACCCCTCTCAATCAAATTTTCCTAGAAAGGGTTAACGAAAATTGGTTTTAAAGCCATTTTGTAGCAATACGTGACCTTCCTAGCATGAACAGATTATGATCCCGAAATATTTAGGTTTTGGTAATTTTTGCTGGAGGTAATTAGTGCTTTGACACGTTGCGGTAAGACTGCTGAAAAGTTAGCCCTTTTCAAAAACATTACCGCAATAGATTTTCTATCGCTATATAAAAATAATCGACGAGTCAAAAATTGCAGTAGAGTTGCAAAAACTGGGCTATTTTCTGACCAAAATCACTCCACATAGCAAAAATCGCTTCTATGCGATTTTTACGAGCTGAAGTGAAAACATGACCAAATCCTTCTAGAGTCCTTGATTTTCTGGATCGATCAAGCCCTTTTCATTTTCAGTATTTAAGGTCGGATGATCAAATTTCCCCGATTAATTAATGATACTGTCGTAACCTTGTGTGTTCCTGTGTCAGCACCGGTTATGACTCCCATTTACGCGTTAGGCAGAGAGATTAACCGAGAATAGTTTACTATAACAATTCCTGCGTAAACACCAACTCTGCACGTGTCAGTCGACTTGTCCCGTGTTCGCCAGCAAGTCGTATGTGGTAGCGTCACGATGTTCTCATCTGCAGCCAGTCCCGCCTCCCTCGTCCGCTCTTGCATTTAAAGGCAATTGGTCCGTGCTCGCTTTGCCCCTTCTTATTGGTCCATCTGAGTAGCCATCGGATTATGGTTGACTTCTCAAGGACATACATGATTTGGCGGCGTGACTGTGACTATGCGCTTACCTCTGTTCGCGCGCCTTTGTCCGGCGTGACCTCAGGATGTCTGTGTGTCTGTCTGGGTGACAAGGGTGGTGGCTCACGTGCTCGGCCATCCTAAAAGATACCGAGTAAGAATGCGTT